ACTAGTGTTGAGAAGTTTTTTCAATCGATACTGACAGCGGGAAGGAGTTGACTTGAATAACCATATCCTTCTCTTTGAAATGATAATCAATAATAGGAACTTGTAGAACAATGATTCTGAAGCCAGTTGTGCATCAGGATTACCTGGGGAGCTTTTAAGAACTACAGATGCCTGGCTCCGCCCCTAGAGGTTGAGTTTCATTGGTTAAGATTGAACTCAGACTTTAGTATTTGTTAAAAGCCCCCTGGGTGGTTCTAATGTGCAGCCAGAGTTGACAGCCTGTTTTAGGACCCGAACATAGAGCAGCTTTTCAGTTGTTTGGAGAATCTTTCCCCAGTGAATAGAAATGTCCTTTCCACTGAATTGCTTCAGTCTGTTATCCAGAATGTTACATTGAGTTACCGGTAATATTATAAAATAGGTGCCATCAGAAGCTGTTCAGTAATGATTCACACTTATTATCAGTGTTGAATCAAGACATTTTTTCTAAATCAGACTTTAATTAAAATAGTATTTGACACAAATACCCTTTTAAAATTTCATCAATGATTAATCAAGATATTTTTCTAAATCAGTTGCAATTATTGTATTTTATAAATGTGGATTTTAATCATTTTCTAACAAATATTACTGTCTTCACTTTTTAATTATCACCCAGACAATAATAAACATATTCATTTAGCATCAGTGCTGGACAGTCTGTTGGCTCAGCAAAGGGAAGACATGAAAACAATAAACTTGCTGTTCTGTTACTAGAAGTACTTTGAAGTAAAAGCAAAACCCAAGAGTGCCTGGAACAATGGTTGTAGCAAGCACTCAGTACAGTTTTTGCTGAATGAGTAAATGAATTCATGAAATCTTAAATCTGTCTTACCTTTGGAAGATTTGAATACAAGAGAAAGAAAATACTGTTTTGGTTTTGTTCTTTTTTCTTGCATCCTTAAACTTTCTTTGAACTTTTTGGTGAGTTTAGTTACTACAGGTACAATAGTGAACAAAATAGACCAAAAAACCCCTTCTGTCATGGAGCTGATATTGTAACAGAGGTGGTAATTTTGGAAAATATAATACGTGTAGGGTACTTCAGAAACTTCATAAAAATGGAATTACGGGCCGGCGCCGCGGCTCACTAGGCTAATCCTCCGCCTAGCGGCGCCGGCACACCGGGTTCTAGTCCCGGTCGGGGCGCCGGATTCTGTCCCGGTTGCCCCTCTTCCAGGCCAGCCCTCTGCTATGGCCAGGGAGTGCAGTGGAGGATGGCCCAAGTGCTTGGGCCCTGCACCCCATGGGAGACCAGGAGAAGTACCTGGCTCCTGCCATCGGATCAGCGCGGTGCGCCGGCCGCAGCGCGCCGGCCGCGGCGGCCATTGGAGGGTGAACCAATGGCAAAGGAAGACCTTTCTCTCTCTCTCTCTCTCTCACTGTCCACTCTGCCTGTCAAAAAAAAAAAAAAAATGGAATTACAAGATAATACACATTCTCCATGAACTTTTTGAAGACCTTTCATATGATATTATTATGGTACTTGACTTTTTCCCTTTCCCATCCATTCTTTTCTTCCCAGAAGCAGGGAAATAGGATGGTACTGAGGAGGAAGAAAGTTATCATTTTAAATAGGCTAGTTAGGGAAGATATTATTTGTGTAAAGACCAAAAAGAAGGGAGAGCACGTTGTTACTATCTGTGAAACTAAATCAGTCCAAGGGACCATCAAGTGCAAAGACTTGAAAGCAGGAATGAGCTTTCTGTATCCACAGAATATTTAAGATGCTGATGAGGTTGGAGAAACAAATGGAGGCAAGAAGAAAAAAAGATCATGATCAGAGAAGTGTGGAGTAAGGGTTGAGTGTGGTACAGATTGTACAGGTTCTACAGCCATGGTAATTTGTTGGCTTTTACTCAGCAAGAGACTGAGAATAATTTGTAGGTTGTTAACATAGGAATACTATGATCTAACATGTTAAGCAGCACCACTCTGGCTGCTGAGTTGAGAATTGTAACAGATAGGCAGACACAGGGAAACCAATTAGGAGACTATTTTGGTAATCTAAGCAAGAAACGGTATAGACCTAAGAGAATGCTGTGAAGGTAATATAAAGTGATCAGGTTCTATTTTGAAGGTAGAGCCATTGAGATTTGATGACCATTTAGACCAAGGATATGGAAAGAGTGAGTTTAACCCTAAGAATTTTGGCCTGGGCCAACGTTATGGTGCAGTGGGTTAATGCCATGGCCTGAAGTGCCAACATCCCATATGGGCACTGGTTCTAGTCCCGGAAGCTCCTCTTCCGATCCAGCACTCTGCTGTGGCCTGGGAAAGCAGTAGAAGATGGCCCAAGTCCTTGGGCCCCTGCACCCACATGGGAGATCCGGAAGAAGCTCCTGGCTTCTGGCTTCAGATCGGCTCAGCTTCAGCTGTTGTGACCATTTTGGGAGTGAACCAGTGGGAGGAAGACCTTTCTCTCTTTCTCTCCCTCTCACTGTCTGTAACTCTACCTCTCAAATAAATAAATAAAATCTTAAAAAAAAAAAAAAAAAAAAAAAAAGTCTGGAATTCAAGGAAGAGGTCCAGGCTACACATAATAAATCTGAGAACTGGCAGCACAGTTATATATTTAATGCTATGAGACTGGATAACATCACCAAGGGACAAAACATTTTTAGAGAAGAGAAGAGACCTAAGGGCAGAGGCCCTGTAACCTCTGAAAGATCTGCAAAGTGCAAGAGAGGGGAAATCAGGTGAAGAAAATGTTTGACGGTGAAGAGAATGATCAGTGTCAAAAGATGAGGACTGGACCGGCGCCGCGGCTCACTAGGCTAATCCTTCGCCTTGTGGCGCTGGCACACCGGGTTCTAGTCCCTGTCAGGGCACTGGATTCTGTCCCGGTTGCCCCTCTTCCAGGCCAGCTCTCTGCTGTGGCCAGGGAGTGCAGTGGAGGATGGCCCAAGTGCTTGGGCCCTGCACCCCATGGGAGACCAGGAGAAGCACCTGGCTCCTGCCATCGGATCAGCGCGGTGCGCCGGCCGCAGCGTGCCGGCCGCGGCGGCCATCGGAGGGTGAACCAACGGCAAAAGGAAGACCTTTCTCTCTGTCTCTCTCTCTCACTGTCCACTCTGCCTTTCAAAAAATAAATAAATAAATAAAAATTTACAAAAAAAAAAAAAAGAAATACAAAGTAGCCAGGAATCAAACCAAGCACTCCAGTATGGGATGCAGGCATCCCGAGCAGTGGCCTAACCCACTGTGCCACAATACTCACCTCAAATTGCACTTTTTGATAGGTTGTGCCGGACAGACCTTATTGCAAAGATGATGTAAGTAAATTTATCTGACAGAAGATAGCTTTTAGACAGGTGGAATAGCTAATGCAGAGGAGGAAGACGAAGACAGTCCCCTTTATCCCCTCTCTGCTTTCCTCCTCAAACAGCTGACACTGTGAAGTGAACATGTAACCTTCCAGAATTTGTTTTTATACTTTCATTACATATGTATGTGTCTGTAAACAATCTTTCTAGGGCCAGCATCGTGGTGCAGTAGGTTAAGCCTCCACCTGTAATGCCAACATCTCATATGAGTGCCCATTTGAGTCTTGGCTGCTCCACTTCTTCACCCATATGGGAGACCCTGATGCCTTGATGGAGCTCTTGGCTCCTGGCTTGAGCCTGGCCAACCCTGGCAGTTGTGGAAGATAGAAGGTGCCTGTCTGTCTGTCTGTCTGTCTCTGTCTCTCTCTTTTGAACTGCCTTTCAAATAAATAAATCTTTATTTAAAACACTGTTTTATAATACCATACCATATTTGCTTTCTTTCATTTCAAATTATAATCAGCAAAATTTGTAAATCCAGTTCATTCAGTATACTGTGCCGCAATTTACCCCATAACAAGCAATGTTACATGAACAACTTTCATACACATTTCCTTATACATACGTGAGAACATGAGAAAACACACATTTAGACTACTCATAATGCATTGTCCACTTTGTTAGTTATTCCAGATTGTTTATTGTTTACATCAACTGTTTCTTCCTGTCCTCACCAACCTTGGTATTATCACTTGTTTATTAATACAGAGTGATCTTTCTAAACACTTTTTGAGGAATTAAGATGATAGAATTTCTTTCGCCATGAACAGCTAAGTTACAGAATTTACTTCAAATTTTTAAAAAAACAAGTACTCTTTACTAAGGACTTATTTTTATGATTAAGCCAACTCACATTATATAAGATATGGATTATGACATCCCATAATTACCTGTGCCAACCTAGCACCAGGTAGAAGAGTACAAAAGATTAAGTAAAATTAGAGTCAGAAATTGCGTACTTTGTTAGATTTAATAAAATATTTGCTTAGGGGAAAGCATAGAGGATGTTGTCACAGGATATGTATATGTGTTTTGAAAAACCTTAAATTTAGTTTCCCACTATACCCCCATCTTGTCTAACCGTACTGTTATATATATAAAATAGGACTGAAAGCTTCCTTTTGAAATGATCATTGTCAGATATTGACTCTTTCTTATCAAATATAGCAAGTATTTAGAAAGTACTTCTTAGGGGGTGGCGCTGTGGCGTAATGGGTAAAGCCACCACCTCAGTGCCAATATCCCATATGGGCTCCGGTTCAAGTCCTGGCTGCTCCACTTCCAATCCAACTTTCTGCTATGGCCTGGGAAAGCAGTAGAAGATGGCCCAAGTCCATGGACCCCTGCACCCACGTGGGAGACCCAGAAGAGGCTCCTGGCTCCTGGCTTTGGATCAGCACAGCTCTGGCCATTGCAGACAATTGGGAAGTGAACCAGCAGATGGAAGACGTCTCTCTGTCTCTCTCTCTGCCTCTCGTCTCTGTGTAACTCTGACTTTCAAATAAATAAATAATTTAAAAAAAAAAAAGTTCTTCTTAGACACAAATTGTCATAAATATCATTTTATCCAGAAATAGAAGGTTTACTTATTTAAATGTAGCAGTACTTAGTTAATTTTATCTTACTATCTTCCAGATTAACAAATAGAAATATTATACACAAACCCGCAGAATGGACTTTAATTGCTATGGTGTTGCTGTCATTGTAAGTATTCTTTAAGATTTTAACTCTAAATGCTAAATATGAATGATTTTGATTAGAGAAAAACAAAGCTGTTCACTGATTTTGTAAACAACTTCTCTTTTGGAAAATGTCATATGTCTATTTTGTGCTTATTTTTCTTTCCTGTATATCTAAAAAATTTTCATGTAAAATTATATTTTATTTTGATAAGCTTTAATCATTTCTTTATATGTTTTACCAGCTTTGTTTTTTCTGAGGACCTTGTTTGTCACAAATACTATTTGTTGTTATCTTTTGAAAGAGATATTTTCCTTTAGTTTCATTTTTAACAGTCTATTTTATTATTAATGTATTGATGTGCTTCGTTATTTTACATCTACATTTTTACATGTTCAGTGCTTTTCATTTTTCAATATATTTTATCATTAATAGCATCAGATAAGCTTTGTTTTCCAAATTAATATATACTTTAAAATCTAACAAATTTAAAGGCCTAAAATAGATGCTTACTGAACAAGTGTATATAAAACATTTACTACTCAACCACCTTTTAAGAAACCACTAGTGGTTTCTAAGGCTATTTTTCAATAGGGTTAAACCATTTAATAAATGTAGTGTTTTTCAGCTTGAATTGCAAAAACCTTTGGAGGACCAGTCATTATTGCATTACTGTTGCTTCTTGGTCCTTGTTAGGTCATCAAAGCCCATAGGACATTGCAAACTTCCCAGACAATCACAGGGCAAGAAATGTTAAGAGTCAACCTCATAATATTGCCAGCCCTGCTTTCTCTTTCTTTGATCTTACTTCAGTCTGACATGTTATTCTGGCTTCACTGTCCCAAGGAAGGCTGTGCTGGGAAGCATTAGAGTAGGCTTCAGTGAGCCAGAATCTGTGTCACCCAACCAGATACAACTCACATGATTCATTAAATCAGAACACAGAAAATAACTTTACTTGAATGCCCTGATATAAATTTTTTATCAACTATAGGAACAAATCTTTTGTCATTTCTACTATTCAGTGTTCTGGTTGAGTTGGTAATCTGTGAAACAGATCTTATTAATTTTTTAGAAAGTTCTTTCTATTTTTATGAAATTTGTAAATATTTTGGTCACTGGCAAAGAAAATATCAGTATCTCTGCTCACCCACCATATCGTACGCCTGCTAATAAACCCTCATAGACATCTGTTTAACTATACTTCTGTAATTCTTTATACTAAAGAGGAAGTAACGTTTTTGGTTGACAAGTCAGAGGCTTAGGCCCAGCAGTAATCTCAGAATCTTGCTTTCTAAGCCAGTGACTGGAATTATTATCTTCATGAGCAGCTGTTAATCAAGGACACATTAAATCCTGCATTTTTTTGTATTGAACTATTGCCACATATAGTGTACCAAGAAACAGAAAAAGTGTGGAAAATGAAATAATGAAGGCTACCATTAACATTTTATATGATTATTACATACAAAAATAAACCTCTAGTATTTGATTTTAGTAGAGGCACTCATGTAGCACAAAATACCGAATGCTTTACTAGTCCATTTATACACTATTTGACTTTCCTAACTTTGCATGTAATATAGGGAACCTCTGATTTCAAGGATCAGTGACTCAAAAAATAGTAACTTAATTGAATTCAAGAAACAGATTGAAGGCTGTCCTTGTGGTAGAGCGGGCTAAGCTGCCACCCTTGGTGCCGGCTTCCCATATAGGAGCATTGGTTCAAGTCCTAGCTTTTTTGCTTCTGATCCAGCTTCCTGCTAATGCACCTGGGAGAGCACTGGATTTGGGGCCTCTACCACCATGTGGGAGACCTGGATGTAGTTCTGGCTCCTGGCTTTGACCTGGCCCAGCCCTGCTACTGCAGCCATTTAGGGAGTGAACCAGCAGAAGAAAGCTATCTCCCCCACTCCCACCCCTACCATCCATGTAACTGCCTTACAAGTAAATAAATAAATATTTTTTTAAGAAAGGATTGTACACATCTTAGATAGCTATTTTCTACCGTGCAATCAATCTTGAAATTGTGGCAATAAATGGTATTACTTTTTGTCATTTGCCTTGCATTCTTTGTCTTTCATAATACCCAATTTTATTTATTTAAGAGGTAGAGTTACAGGCAGTGAGAGGGAGAGACAGAAAAAAAGGTCTTCCATTCGCTGGTTCACTCCCCAAGTGGCCACAACGGCCAGAGCTGTGCCAATCCGAAGCCAGGAGCTTCTTCTGGATCTCCCACATGGGTACAGGGGCCCAAGGACTTGGGCCATCTTCTACTGCTTTCCCAGGCCATAGCAGAGAGCTGGATCGGAAGAGGAGCAGCCAGGACTCAAACTGGTGCCCCTATGGCATGCCAGCAGCACGGGTGAAGGATTAACCTACTGCACCACAGCGCCAGCCCCTAAAGCTAGATCTAACCTTTCTTATAGTCATTGGTACCTTTGATCCCTGGACAACTAAAATCCGTTCCAGTTAGGGCCCTTTGGGCTTCTTTTTAAAAATGTGGTTACTGGCCGGCGCCGCGGCTCACTAGGCTAATCCTCCGCCTAGCGGCGCTGGCACACCGGGTTCTAGTCCCAGTCAGGGCACCGGATTCTGTCCCTTTGCCCCTCTTCCAGGCCAGCTCTCTGCTGTGGCCAGGGAGTGCAGTGGAGGATGGCCCAGGTGCTTGGGCCCTGCACCCCATGGGAGACCAGGAAAGGCTCCTGGCTCCTGCCTCCTGCCATCGGATCAGCGCGGTGCGCCGGCCGCAGCGCGCTGGCCGCGGCGGCCATTGGAGGGTGAACCAATGGCAAAGGAAGACCTTTCTCTCTGTCTCTTCTCTCACTGTCCACTCTGCCTGTCAAAAAAAAAAAAAAAAAAAAATGTGGTTACTATAAATATCAACTCAGATGGTGCTTCCTAGGTTTTTGCTATTGAAATCTTATAATTCTAACTTTTGCTGTAAGCCCTCCTTACAGATCCTTTCCATTCTGTATCTTTACTACCTGAAACTCCTTATTCTTTAATTATTAGCTTTTGCAGCTTTTGTCTCCTGCCCCCGTATTATTTTATTTCTTATTTCCTCTTTTCTCAGAAAGTCCCCATTAGCTTTTCATATTTCTGACCCCCAGGGTATCTGTGGCTCAACTGATGCTTCCTCTCATCCTCAACTTTGTCCTTGTATCACTCCAGTAAAATATACCCATCATATTAAAACTATATAGTGTGATTACACTTCAAATTTATACCCCTTTCCGTCACTTAGTTCTTAATTACTTTTTAGAGAAGGCATTGGATGAAGAGCCTTACAGTGAAAATATGGAGTCCTCAGGCACCACAGAGGAGCACCAACTCCACCTTTCAGCCTATAGCGTATTGCCATTAAGACTGAATCCAGGCATATGTAGAAGTATTTTTTTAAATAATTAATTCTATTATTCAGAAACCTTTGTATCTACTCTCAAAGTTCTAGTGAAGGTTTTGTAATTAGAATTTGTCGGATTTTCTGGTACTCACATTAAAAACAAATTCATTTTTTATTATAAGATTTATTTATGGGGTTTGTGCTGTGGTGTAGAAAGTTAAGCCTCTGCCTGCAGTGCCAGCATCCCATACAGGCACCGGTTCAAGTCCTGACTGCTCCAATTACAGTCCAGCTCATTGGGAAAGCATCCTCATGGAGGATGACCCAAGTGCTTGGACCTGTGTGTCCACATGGGAAACTAGGTGAAGCTCCTGGTTCCTGGTTTTGGCCTGGCCCAATCTCAGCTATTGCAGCCATTTGGGGGAATAAATGAGCAGATAAAAGATCTCTCTGTATTTCTGCCTTTTGAATAAATAAATAAATAAATCATTTTTTTAAAAAGAGATTGATTGATTAAAAGAGTGACATAGAGATCTTCTGTCCGCTGGCCCATTCACCAAATGCTAGCAACAGCCAGGACTAGGCCAGGTGAAAACCAGGAGCCCTCCATCCTGGTCTCCCCTGTGGGTAGTAGGGACCCAAGTACTCAGCAATCTTCTGTCTTCCCAGGCACTTTAGGAAGCTGGATTAGAAGTAGAGTGGCCAGAATTCAAACTAACATTTCTGTGAGGGGTACAAATAGCACCTGAACTAGTGTGCCACATTGCTGGCCCCCAAAACAAGTCTTTATAGCTAAGGTAAATTCTGAATGGTAATTTTGTCACTGAATATGAGAATATGAGATAATGTGTTCAAAATACTATAGTACTATTATTTGTATATGAATATTGCAGAAGTTTGTTATTACTATCATTTTTTAAATGCATCAAAGCTGTTTTCAAAATTCCTCTTGGGAACTACTTACAAAGGAATGCATACACACACCTCTACATGTACATATATGGGTATGTTATGGTAATGGCTCGAGTCTAACTCATCTAGTCAACATTTCAACCAAAACACCAGAGTCTTTAACAACAGAAGTAAAGCTGGGTTTTTGAATCTTCACATCTATATTTTTAAAAGTAAATAAGATATTTTTGCACTAAATCATCTTTAAAAAAAAGATTAATTTATTTGAAAGTGAGACAGGGGGAGAGAGAGAGAGATTTTCTATCTACTGGTTTACTCCTCAAATGGTCACAGTGGCCAGGGCAGGGCTGGGCCAGGCCAAAGCCAGGAGCCAGAAGCTTCATCTGGGTCTCCCACTTGGTAGAAGGGCCCAAGTACTTGGAGCCATCCTCTGCTGCTTTCCTGGCATGTTTTCAGGGAGCTGGATCGGAAGTGGAACAGCCAGTACAAAAACTGGCACTCATATGGGGTGCCAGTGTCATAGGTGGCAGCTTCACCTGCTACACCACAACACTGGCCCCAGTAAATCCCCTTTTCTTGGTGACTTCAATTGTTTGAAGGGTCAAAATACATATTCTGAAATCACTGCACGGATTTCTAATTTTTTTTTTCACCAAAATAAACTTTTTCACCAATATAATTCTTTTTCACAAGCTTTATGAGGTACCCTTTTACTTTTGCTGATGTACTAACAGTTAAAAAAAAATGGATCACAACATGTCATTTA